TAGATTTAGCAGGGGAAGGGGATGGAGTTTGGGGTAACAGAGAAGAGCTGGGGGCTGCTGATATATTAGGAACCAACAGGGAAACATCTATGAAATAGCCCAAAAGAATTAGGGCATTTTCCTCTAAAAAGTTGATATAGTCAATAGTCTGACTGACGTGTCTCTATACCAATGCATGCAGCATGAGTACTAAAGAAAAGGAGCTGGAAGCCACTGTGCAGCTAGAAAGCTATGATCTAATCACCGTCACTGAAATGTGGTGGGACAAATCACATGGATGGAGCACTGCAGTCAATGGCTATAAACTGTTCAGAAAAGCCAGTCAAAGAAGGAGAGGTGGTGGTTTGGCATTACCCTCTGTATAAAAAAATGGATCGACTGTACACAGTCATCTTTGAAAAACAGCTGTGAACAGGTTGAGAGCGTGTGAGTGAAAATCAGAAGGCAAGCCAACAAAGGAAACCTCATGGCTGGTGTTTATACAGGACTCTCAATCAAGGGGTAGATGTTGATTACGTGTTCTTACTTCAATACAGGAAGCATCACACTTGCAGGCTCTGATCCTGATGGGGAGTTTCAATTACCCTGACATCTGCTGGAAGATCAGCACAGCAAGCTGTAAGCAGTTCAGAAGACTCTCAGAGTGTGTTGAGTATAATTTCTTAATCCAGGTGAAAGACAGCCCAACCAGAGGAGAAGCGTTACTGGACTTGTTGTTTACCAATACAGATAAACTAATAAGAGCTGTCAAGATTGCTGGCAGCCTGGGCTGCAGTGATCATGTCCTGGTGGAATTCACAATCTTGAGGGATAGGGGCCAGGTGAAAAGTAGGGTCAGCATCCTGAATTTTAGGAGAGCAAACTTTCAGTCGTTTAAGGAACAGTAGATGGGAGACCCTGGGAAACTGCCCTCAGGGATAAAGGAGCAGAAAAGAGCTGGCAGATCTTTAAGGTTCATTTTTCTTAGCAAGAGCTCTTGATTCTCGTGTGTAAGAAATTGGTCAAGGAAGGCAGGAGATTGTCAGGGCTTAGTAAAGGTCTCTTGGTCAAACTAAAGTGTAAGAAGGAAATGCACAGGCAGTGGAACAAGGACATGTAAAGAAGGACGTGGGAAGAACATAAGGATGCTGTCTGCGTGTATACAGATGGGATCAGGAAAGCTAAGGCACAGTTGGAGCTGAATTTGGCAAGGAATGTGAATGGTAAGAAGGGCTTCTATAGGTATGTTGCTCAGAGAAGGAAGATGTACTCCCTCTAATAAAAAAGGCAGGAGAACTAGTGAAAACCAGCATGGAGAAGTCTGAAGTACTCAATATATTTTTTTTTCCCCTCAGTTTTCACTAGTAACCTCTCTTTCCACATCTGTCAAATCCCTGAAGCTCAAGGCAGAAACTGGGGGAATGGAGTCCTTCTCATGGTAGGAGAAAATCAGGTTTGAGACCACCTAAGGAACCTGAATATACACAAGTCCATGGGACTCAGTAAGATGCATCCGAGGGTTTTGAGGGAAATAGCAGATGTAGTCACTAAGCCACTTCCCATCATACTCGAAAAGTCATGGCAGTCAGAGGAAGTCCCTAATGACTGAAGAGATATCACATCCATTTTTAAAAAGAGTAATAAGGAGGACGCTGGGAACTACTGATCAGTCATCATTGAACAGAACCTCATGAAAATGATATTGAAACATGTGGAAGACAGAGATGTGATTAGAGACAGCAACATAGCTTCACTAAGGGCAAATCGTGCCTAGCTAATATGGTGGTCTTCTATGATGAAGTGACTGCATCAGTAGACAAGAAAAGAGCAATTGATGTTATCTGCCTGGATGTTTTTAAGGCATTTGATACAGTGCCCTATAACATTCTTGCTGCTAAATTGGAGAGATACGAGTTGATGGATGGACTGTTAGACAGATAAGGAACCGGCTGGATGGCCATCTCTTCATGAGTTACTGTCAACAGCTCAATCTCCAAGTGAAAACTAGTAAGTAGTGGTGTCCCTCAAAGGTCCATACTGGGACCAATACTACTTAATGTCTTCATTGCTGACACAGAGAGTGGCATTGAGTGCACCGTCAGCAAGTCTGCAGACAACACGAAGACGAGTAGTGCACTTGATGTGCTAGGGGGAAAGGATGCCATCCAGAGTGACCTTGACAGCCTTGAGATGTTCAGCAAAGCCAAGTACAAGGTCCTACACCTGTGTTGGGGCAATCACCAGTATGAATACAGACAGAGGTATAAGTGGATTGAGAGCTGCCCTGCAGAGAAGGGCTTGGGGGTACTGGTGGATGAAAGAATTGGACATGACCTAGCAATATGTACTCACAGTCTAGAAATCCAATTGTATCCTGGGCTGCATCAAGAGAAGTGTGGCCAGCATGTTGAGGGAGGGGATTCTGCCCCTCTACTCTGCTCTGGTGAGACTAGAAGTACCACATCCAGTTCTGGGGTCCCCAGCACTAGAAAGACATGGATCTGTTAGAATGGGTCCAGACAAGGGTCTCGAAAATGATCAGAAGTCTGAAACACCTATATTATGAAGAAAGGCTGGGATGAGGTTCTTCAGCCTGGGGAAGAGTAGGGTCCTGGGAGATCCTGTTGCAGCCTTTCAATATTTAAAGGGGACTTACAAGAAAGGTGGAGAGCCTTTTTGCCAGGGCCTGTAGTGACAGGACAAGGGGCAATGGTTTTAAACTGCGAGTGGGTAGGTTTAGATTGGACTTAAGAAATTTTTATGATGAGGGTGGTGAAGCACTGGAACAGGTTGCCCAGAGAAGCTGTGGCTGCCCCCTCCCTGGGAGTGTTCAAGGCCAGGTTGGATGGGGCTTTGAGCCACTTGGTCTAGTGGAAGGTGTCCCTGCCCATGGCAGGGGGCTTGGACTGGATAATCTTGGAAGGTCCCTTCCAACCCAAAACTTTCTATGTTTCTATTTTTCAGGCTAATATCATCCAATGACTTTCTATGCAGTCCTAAAAGATTTTCTTTCTACTGTTGTTAATGGCACAATATAGACTGAAAGGAAAATAATTTAATGTGCCTCAAGAACAGAACTAACATTTATGGTACATATAACATCCAGTACTCAGGTCTATTTAAGTGATAATTTTTCAGAGGAAGGAAATATATATATATATATGTGTATATATATATGTGTGTATATATATATATGTATATAAAAGGTCTTCAGTAACTCATTATTGAGATCAATTTAATGCATATTCCTCCATCACAGGATAACAGTGATAGAATTACACATCTCTGTCATTAAAATCAGGTTTGTATGTGTCCTTTTATGTATAAACTTATAAAAAACTTACAAATCAAATACAACAGAAAACCAACAGGTTTACAGAAATAAATATATCTTTCAAAAAGAATATAATCCATACTAGAAGAAATGTATACAAATATTTTCAATCTTCAAATTGTACATCATAATTATTATACTACTCTTTAAAATTTAAAGAACAATCATGTTTGTTTTACGTATGGTTGTTTACCTGAAGAAATTTGTGTTTTCTCTTTATTTTTTTTTTACTTATGAAGCAAGTCAAAAATATACTTTGTTTAACAACAACAATTTTTTTTTTTTTTAAGACTCTTGAGTTCTCCACTTATATTTTTACCTTCATTTTTTCCTCTTTTTTTTTTTTTTTTTATTGGGGGTGGGGAGGTGTTTCTGAGCACCAAAATTGCATGCATGTACCGAAATATCTTTTAATGTTTCTGGCTTTATGTTTAAATCTGTTTCTATCATAAAGAAATATGTTCTTTTGTATTTAAACAAGAGTCAAAATCAGGGAAAAGAAAAAAATTCTCAGTAGTCTGATGAGCTAAAACACTGTTGAAACACATTAACCACATTAATAGATAACTCAGCAAAAGAAGTTTCCTGTGTTCCAAAATAATAAAGGCCAAGGATATAGATCAGATTTGCTACTAAGGAAAACAAGATAAAAAAATATTTGTAAAAATAATTCTAAATCAAAAAAACACATAAACAAAATTATACCTTACCTTGTGTATTTAAAATACTGGAAATATAAGCATTTCAGCAGACTATATGTTATTCCATACAAACTATTTGTTTTTTCATTAAGATAAAAAATATTTCTAATCTTTGTTACCATAAGCAAATTTTTAGCTTAGTTCTCTATGGAAAGTAGAATTTCTATAAATAAACATTCATTTGAAGAAAAGCCTGGTAAATAAAAACATTCAGGAGCTGGAAGTACAGAGAACGCAGAAAAGATTTTTGGTCTATTGTCATGGATCTAAGGTTATTTTGATATTCAGTCTAATGCTGACAGAGGAATATTTATAATGTCAATAAGGTGCAGCTCATGTTCTGTTTTAAAGACGTAAGTATTAATTTCACTCATAATTCATGTGTTATGGACTTCCTTATATTTAGGAAGATAATATTACATTACTCCTTGAAATTCTTTGACTTCATATTAGCTGCAACATAAATTCTATCAGTGTATATAGCCCATTTTGTCCATATTACCTCTACATCTTCTGCCCTAAAAACCAACTTGCACACAAAAATAATAAATGCAGATAATAGTAATATTTTCCCTATTCCTACCGTTACCAACTATTTTGAAAATGGTGAGTACTTTTTTGTTTGTTTGTTTGTTTGTTTTTTTTATTTTTCCTACATGGAATTGAGAAGATTTTAATAAGAAAAAGATACAAGTCCTCAAAACTTGTTAACCACTGAACCAAAAGCAAATGTGACCTGATGACAAATTTAACATAAAGCACCACTAACACCATTATAAATATCCAGTCATTTTTGTCTAAAGTGGCTGTCAAAAAGAATGTAGCCTAGCCCAGTTTCCATAAAATATTGAACAGAATTCAAAATCCACCGGCAAAAATGTTCTGTTTTAAAAATAAAACCGGTCCAAGTATCTATATCAATCAATAGATAAGTTAAGCAATCAAATATTTCTATGCAACTGGTGGTGAAGAAAAGAGTCACTTACCTAAAACCCCCAGCCTGTAATTGAGAGTGACAACAATGACATTTCCATAACTTGCGAGAATGCTGCCATCAATCATATTGCCAGTACCCTCCATGTAAGATCCACCATGGATGTAGACCATAACGGGTTTCTTGCTGTTTTGATCATGAATGTCTGAAAAAATTCAAGTAAGGAAAATATAATACAGTAATAAAAAGTAAGAAAATATGGCATTAGAAATTTATAACAGTGCTAAAAATATTCTTAATTATTTCCTATGTTTTCAATGTAATCACCACCACTTTTATCAGCTAGCTTACACAGTTCAGGGTCATCCTACAAGCCTAATACCTATGGTTTAAATATTTCTATTGGTAACTTCAAAAACTATTTCCCCTGAAATGTTCTCAGAACACTTGTAATACCTTCAATATTAAAAGTAATTTAATTTGAATATAAACATCTAAAATCCTAAAGAGAAAAAACACATTATGAAATAATCTTGTCTTTTTTAGGATATTCTGACTCAAGTATATGCCAATTTAGTAATATCTAATACATCTAATAATAAAATTACAATAACGATCCATACTTTCCCATTCCTCACTGAGAAATAATTGTTGAAATCATATTCCCAATAGTTCAGTAAAAGATAATATCACAAAATCAAATTTTCTGGTAGAAGTAAACATGCTAAACTGTTCCATCTTTCTAGAAAGTTAACAAACAAAAAGAATTTATGGGAATTCACAGATCAGATTTTTTTAATTTAAATCAAACTATTTCTTTCATGTTGTACTTTTCCTTGTCATGGTACCTAAGCTCTAAAGAACAGCCTTGAATTAATGCACCTTAATGGTATGGCTGATCTTTTGTATATGCAGAAAAGCTCTTGACTACTTTCAAAAAGGTAAACAGCTGGGTCTTTATTTCTAAAAGAAAGTTACATGAAATTGATAGGAATATTTTCATACTTCAGAGTAAGTTATAAAGATCCACTAATCAATGATTTGGGATATATTTAGGACTGGATTCATTTCTCTTCCTCTAATAACCAAAAACTTAAGCTCCTGATCCCAGAGATGGTTCAGACTACCTAAATTAGGAACTTTTGTTCTCTACAGAAACAGTGGGAACAAGGGCTAAACTCCTTTAAAAAACAGAGGGCAAGTCAGCAAGTTGCTGTTAGATATACACACTTTTTATAAATAATTCACTGTATCTGCACATGGAATAGAAGCACTTCTTTCAATTGTACAGTACAACATACAAGAGAAAGCAGAGTCTCTTACTATTCCATTAGGATTTTTTTTTTCAAAACCCCCCCCCAAAAAAACAACAGTAACAAAAAAAAACAGTGTTCTTTTGGCTAGGATAGGCATATATTGAACAGTGACAAAAGGAAGTGCAGGAAGACAAAGCTGAGCTAAATACCTAGAGGTAGGGAACCTGGGTTTGAAAGTATTCCACAACTCTTCCCTCTCTTCAGGTTTTTTAGGAAATACTCTAAGATACCAAAAATGTGATCAACAATAAGGTACCACATACATCATATTCTGCATATGTGGAACTAATTTGAGAATATTTAAAGGTAAATTTTGACTGGTAATATTCCTACGACCCACTTTTACCTTTCTCATGTGTATGCACTACCTTAAATATCAAAAATTGTCATCTGAGTGCTAGTAATGTATGGTCAGGCTCCAATGTACACCTGTCTAGCTGTCAGAATTTAAGGCTTGTCATAGAATCCGCCTTCTTTACATAAAAAGTTACATACTTTACATGTATATTTTGTGCTTCATTTGAGCAGCAGAACAAAAGTTTTTGTGATAAGCTCTTGTTCGATGTTCTAAGAGTTACACAGCCATTAAACAGATCATATAAAGCAATAAGGTGCATTCTAGTGAGTGAATTTTTTTTTTATTCTCAGCATTTTCAGTCAAGTACATGAAAATGTTTCTTCTGTGAAGGCACAGCTAAGCCCTCAAAAAATGAAAGCAACAATTATTTAACACAATTATTTGTGTTACTGAATTACCTTTCCCTTCTCTCTCCAAAGTCTCATGGCATGATTTGTTGTATTTAATCTTTCCTTATTACATAGTTCTACCTCAGGGTTGAATCTTTCACTGCTGAAGTCAATAGGTTTCCTCTTCCCCTTCAAAGGGAACATGATTAGCTTCAACATAAAGGAAATGAGCTCCATGCTTTATGTACTTAGATCTAAAGTGGATGCCCTTGTTAATCATGAAATGCTACCATTTTATAATTTTTTAAGAAGTCTGAATAATAATGTATTCATAATCCAGTTTCTACCTTAAGTTTTTTAAGCAGTTTTGCTTGTCACCTATCTTTTGTTTTAAAATTAACTACAGAACTTGTTATAGAAAATGATGATATCATAATTTGTTGCACAGAAATATGTTGCACAGAAATAGGAAGGTGATATTCAGAAAATAAGAGTCATTTTGAAGTATTCTGCACAGTATTTTTGTTTTATAAGAAATAGTGTAATTCAGCAATGAAGGTGCTACAGTAGAGGGCAACCAATGTGAATCAAAGATCAGAGATTTTTATTAAAGTATTTTATATATGGATATAGTAGCTATAATTGAGCTGAACTCCCAGGAAAAGAGGAGATAGTGTCCTCGCTGCAGTATGAATGATTCTAAGGGGAACAGAGAGGACAAGTGTTTCAAAGTTATTTGAACTGATGTCAGAGAGAAAAAAACAGGAAAAAAAGACATAGAATGACACTTTGGACTGGCCAAGCATTAGAGGATTAAGAAACACATTGCACAAAAACCAGACCAATAAACTACCCAAGGTTGTTATGTTCACAAATAATCTGAAAATATTTTTTTCAATTTGGTAAAAAAATTAAAATATAGTAATATAAACTGTCAGTGCAGCTTTCATGAGAAGGAAGGGTAAGAATAGACGATTTCATGACTTCTTTCTATTTTTGTGCATCCTAAGGAGCTTTGCTGTGCCAAGGCAAGAAAAAAGTATTTCCTTGTAAAACTTTTTTGGGGTGCTTCACTGTGAACTTTAACATTTCCTTTTAAGGAATCCAATCCAACTCTGAAAGAAGTCAATGAAAATGATTGTCATTGATTTCAGTGGGAATGCGGTCAGAGTCAGAATGAATGTATTTCAGAGGCTAGCTGATTACAGGGATAAAAAAAAAATAAAGCAACATCAACAGCTTCCTTTATTTGTGTGTCCTGAAATAAACCATATCCTGTGAGAAAAAAAAATAAATAAGTAAATAAAAATAGCAAAGACAAAGCACAGTTCAACTGCATCAATGTACAGCATGTGCACTGGGAAAGCAGTGGAAGTGAAAGGAAGTGAGTTTTTCCATGAATTTCAAACAAGTGAATTTACAAAATCTGTAGGAGGGAAAAGAGCACATGCATGTTTTTTAATTCAATTTTTTCAACCTAAGAAAGAATAGGGGGGGGGAAAGTATGTGGTTACAAATAATATTTATGTTACTCACTTCACACATATTTAGGAATAACCTTTACACCTATGTCACAGAGGAACTGCAGTCATCTATATGCTAATTTGGATTTTAAAAAGAAAAACAACAAAAGTAATTTCTAAAGAAGAAAATAAAGCGGCACACTGAAGTGTGCTTCTGCAAATAAGGGACTAAAAATCATGTTGAAATAACAGCAATAACAGTAACAATAATAATTATTATAATAAAAATTAAAAAGTTTATGTTCATGCATCAGGGTCGAGCTTTGAAAAAACAAAAAATACCTTCATCTTCACCACGATCATTACTGGTTATATCATCTGCGCTTTTCTTTGTGTTGGCTCCTGGGATCATATTGAGGAGGAGAATAAAGGGAAAAAACAGAATTCAAAACCAGCAGGTTCTCAAAAAGAAAAAAAAAAAAAAACACTAGTACAAAAAAAAATGTAACAAAAATGTCAAAATCTGTTACATTTGAAATTGAAAAACAAAAAGGATGCAAACTGCACATAAACATAAAATGTCAAGAAGAACAAATTTGAAAAAATGTATCGTATTCTGTGACAATGCAGTTACTTCAGTTAAAAGTGATTTCTGCAAAAACAAAATTAATGTGCTATTAAAAAAGAATAATGTAAAACAAAAAAAGTATATTGAAAGATTTACAAATTATCGTTGCTACATAAGAAATGAAATTTATTTAATCCTGTACTGTAACCTTGAAGAAATAATGCCTTCAGTCACTATCGTCAATGACTTGACATTTTCTTCATCCTCATAAGGATTTATTAAGAATTAGCCACAACCTGAATTTTACATGGAACCAATGCAAATAAAATTATCAAGTCTTACACAACTTGAATGGACTAAGACAAACATAAATATCTCCTTAAAATGTAATCTTGCTTCCCATATGACCAAAAAGATATTTAAAACAACAGACTACAAACAAAGATGACACAGTAGAGTCATTCCCAGACATGAAATTGGTCCAGAAGTAGCCTTGGTTCATATTATACCACATTTCATGCTCTTTAGAAAAGCCTAGAAATTAACTGAAAACAGTTACTTACCGTGATAAAGAACCTGCTCTTATTTATTAGAAGATTTAGTAAACAATATATTTTAACTTGTATTCAGTATGCTTTCTCAAATTACTTTTGAGGTGTATACATGCACATGCAGAAACACATACACACGTATGTCCATACATGCCATAGCATGTGCTTATGGGAGTAAGAAGAAATGAACATCGTTATCCTCAACCCTCTCCTTGGGCAATACTTCTGTTTAGGAACTTGAAAAAAATGACCCAAAGTTTCATTATATTGTGCTTACTCCTGTAGCAAGTAGCCTTCTGTAATGCAAAAGGTTACTTGATAAAGAGTGAACCATGAATAGGAAACTCAATTTATAATTGAGTTTAGAAATCAAATAGGTCTACTAAAGAAATAAAGTGGTCTAAGTTGCCACTCTAACCTTCTTTTTCCTCAATTGTTTTTATCTAGAAATGTGTTTTCAAGACATACTGAAAAAGAACGGTATACTTTATTAACTTGTTTATCTATGAGTTTGTGTATGAATATGTCACACAGAGATCATATTTAGCTAAAATAATGATTTTATTACGTCCTTTTATTCTACTACTTAAAATGTCCCAATATGCCTCAAAATTCAAGGT